GGGAGGGCTAGCCTCCCACTAGTTCAAATTAAGGGTCTACACAGCCCTTAATTCGAACTAGTAAATTCGAACTAGGCTTAATCCTCGTGGAATGAAGATTACCTAGTTCGAACTAAGCGCTCCGTTAGTTAGAATTAAATTTGAACTAACGGAGCGCTAGTGTAGCGCCTATGAAAGTTAGTTCGAACTAACGTCCGTTAGTTCGAACTAACTTTGTAGTGTAGTCATACCCTTATTGTGGTACACTGGGCTAGCTGCATCTTTGACCCTTCTCTGGGATGAGTGCACCCCTTCCGGCACTAGGCCTCAAGCCTTCAACTCCCTCTGGGGAGAATCCTATGATTCTACCTCTCTTTCAGACTGAGTCTCAAGGCAACAGCCTTTCCTCCTTGTACCAATCATGACTGCCCTGCTGCTCAGCCTTGCAAACCCTTCAGCAGCTTTGATCAGAAGTGAATATCAGCACCCAGGATGGCTTTTTCAGAAACATTGTTTCATCTCAGCAGTAGAAAGAAAGCATAACAAGGGCAAAGGTGTTTTAACACAGTTACATGCACCTCAGTCTTACCTAAGCTAGGAGCCCAAGCTCCCTCACTTCTAATTGCTGAGTTCAGTCTGCATCCCATTAGCATTTAGGAAGGCCATCCACAGTCCTCTGCCTACCCTGTGTTTTTTGAGCCTGGTTAAACCCATTTATATGGCCCACCCAAGAGGCTGGGCAGAGGTCTTCTCAGCAGCTGCTTTTCTTCATTGTCAGGTGTTTGCAGGGCAGCTGCTATCAGGTTACAGTCTTCCTTTCTGGGCATGTGCTCTTAGCTCCTTTTGGTGATGCACAAAGACCAGCTGGCCACACTGACTGTCAGATCGATCAGCAGGCTTCAATACTGTTCAACATGAAGTGTTATTAGCTAATCTTCAGATGGACAGTTAGAGCATATACAGCCTGGATAAGCAGAATTAACTCTGCCTATAGGGAAAATAGTGCTGTTTCATCTCTCAAGAATTTTTCTTTTTTTTTATTAAGGTGGGAAATCTTTATCAGATTAGAGACCAAGGAGTCCCATTTCTTTCAATATGAGGCTCCTGATATAAGGGAAGTTGTCGTGGGTAGGTACACATGAGGAGGAGAAGGGGAAAAGAACCGTCCATCAGTTTGCGAGGTTCTATGCTTGCAGCCCTACCAAACATGGCAGTATGGCCTAATGGCTGGGGTCAATAAACAGTCCTTCCACGCAGGGCTGTGTGACTAAATGGACAAAGTCATTAAGTAGTCTTCTGCTCAGAGCAATGTAGCCCAATGGCCGGAGTCATTAAGCAGACCTCATAGGAGTATGTGGCATAATGGTGTGAGTCAAAATAGCTCTCCTCTGTGGGATTGTGTGACCTATTGGCCCACTGGGGAAGTGGGGAACTCCATTAGGATGGTGTTGTGCCAAAGGGAGGCGGACTTGGGAGAGTCCTAAGCCCAGGGCCCAGGCAGTGATGGGGATGCTCACCACTGAATCAGTGGGGATCCTGAAACATGCTGATAGTCATCTCTGGGAAGTGAACAGGAAGAACCTAAGTCCTCCTGACTGCTTCCTCCCTCAACAAAGTTTCACGCTTCCCCCTAGTCTGTGGGATCCTTAGTTGGCCTAGCCCTGGCCAGAGCAGTCTTCACCAGGCTTGTCAGGAGTCCGCCTAGAACTCTGTGTGTCGTTCTGCCACCAGGACACCGCGGTAGCAGCTTCCTGGAGAGAGCAGCCTGCCAAGTCTGAGCTGGGCTGCTATCTTTTATATGCTGTCTGAAGCCTCAGAGGGGCAGGGCTTCCTCCACTTGCAAAGCAGATTTAACTCTTTCAGAGCTGGTGTGGGTAAGTACACCCTGTCACAGAAGGGGAAATGCTCCATTTTGGATCCAATTCTCATTTGCCCTCTGAGAAGCTCTCATGCAAGAGGCAAAAAGAATGAAGGCTGAGCTTCTATTTGTCCCTTCAGAGAGTGGAGCAGGCAAGCATGCTGGACAAGATTCATCAGGAGATGAAAGAATCTTGTGAGAAAAATGAGGCAATGAAGGCCTCTGGACTATTGCTCCTGGATGAAGGGACTCAAAAAGCAACTATACATCCCTGTCTCTAGCTCAATCTCTTTAGTTTGGTCAATTCTGGAAGTTTCCTTTCTGGGTATCCTGGGGCCTCAGACAGCATCTCTTTAGTCCTGGAATGATAAGTGGTTGGCATTTCAGAAGGATATTATGAGCACCTCATCTCCTTATGGACTCTATGCTTGAATTAAATTTATAAAGTCCTTCTGACATCTAAGGTGTGTAATCTTTCCTCCTTGGGATACTGTGGTACTGGACAAAATGAAGACAGAACCACCTCTGAGGGAATGTGAGAAGAAGAGTTTCCCTCTGACAGCGGCACCTACTTTGTGAATTTACAAGGGATGCTTGTATCCTGCTCTGCCCGACCAAGCCCTTACCTCCACTCCATGCTTTCCCACCAAACTTCCCACCCCTTCTTGCCCTGCTCTTCCCTCTCCTGAACACCTCTGCCTCCATTTCTCCCCCTCCTCCACATCAATGAATAAATGATGATAGAAGGCTGGAGGTACTTTGGAGAGGAAAGGGAAGGAGCTGACTGGCAGGGCTGCCAGTGGATGTGGAGCATCTACTTTTTTCTCCTGTGAGTGGTCAAGTCCCAGAGCACCCATGAAATTGGTTCCAGAGTTTGAAGCACCAGCTAGTCTTCATGAAAGGCTCCTGCATAGAGAGTCCCACCAGCCCTGACACTCCTCTGGCAGCCATGAGGAGTATCAGAAGTTTTGATGGATATGTAAGGTGTTGACACTGACATCAGTGATTCAAAGGGATAGTTTATTAGGACTTTCAGTATCTAGCTACCTGATGGTTCTATGCCAGAAAACTCATGGACTCTGCAAACATCATGCTAATAAGGGCAGACACCTCACATGTAACAGTGGTGAGTTAGAGAACTTTGTCAATACCTTCTTGGAGAAATTGAAGATTTCCTGAATGTCTAACATCTGCTTCATGTTCTGCGAAACTTGATCCAGGCAGAGTATGCTTTCAAGGCTGATATTCTTCTAGATGAAATATATTTTCTGATTACTTTGGATGATAAACTCAGCAGTATTAGTACTTCTCTTTCAAATAGGAAGGCTGTTAGATGCAGCCAGCTTGAGTCTGGATGAAGCAGAGGATGTGAGAGGATGCACTGTCCCTTTGGAAACTAACAGCAGTCCTAATTTCAGCTCCAGTTCAAAAGCCATGCTCTTTTTGGCCAATGTAGGGTTACCAATGTTATGGTCACATGTTCTTCATTTTCTGGACCACCTTCAGTAATACCAAGAAGCACAGAAATGCAAAAAGGAGCTTCTGTGGGCTAAGGTACCTAGCCCCATGGATCTGGGGTCCATTTCTCTGGTGAAGTATTTTGGTCCCATCACATTCATGTGGTTTGTGAATAGATCAGTTGAGGGCAAATTGAAA